CTTTCTATGCAACTAGAGAATGCCAACCATCAAGCAGCAATAATAGACTTTTCCTATCCTCATTCAGTGGCAGCAGGAAGGAGATACACTAAAGGGGAAGAACAGAGAGAAGAAAGGTGAGAAAATAGAGTGACATGGAAGGCTGCAAGAAGCTGGCACACTGCTGGTGTGGGATCTGATGAAGGAAATCGCTTTCACAGAGTATCAATTTCAGAATCAGGGGGAAAAGGGGGGGGGAATGAAGGAAGATTAAGCTGTAAAAGCACAAGAAAAAGGATCAATAACCATTTTGGATGTATTTTCTAGGAAGCTGGCGTGGATAGCACAAAGATGTTTCTTAGCGAATATGTTGGCACCCCTCCCATTTACAAGTTATACAGCCAAAGTGCAATTAGCACATTCAGAGGAATAATAATTAAACAATACCAAATAGGCAGTCCATAGGCTGATTAAAGCATACAGTAAAAATAGAGATATAGACTCCAGCTCAGTTCTTGTACAAGAGCCTCTCTGCCCTAAGAATCACTTGAACAAAGTATACCTACACAGTGGCATATGAGCTACAGATGATAACTACATATGAGCTTGATAACATGCAGATTGTTTTTGCTTTTTAAATTTAAGCAGGTAAATGTCATTGCTACACATTTAAAATCAGAAGCAATTTTTTTAAAAGTAGCTCAAGTGCTAAGTTCCATATTTCTTTTTCCCCAGAAGTATTTTATTGCAGAGTAAAATGACAGATGCAATTAGATAATGTTGAGCAGATTATAGTTTGAGAATGTTATGCTGTGTTACATATTCAGAAGTGAACAATAGCAAGGGGAAAAAAAGAAAGATGGGTATCTTAGTACTTATTTTTAAAGTTGGACTAAGAAATGTGTCTTTTCTAGGTAGGAAAATATTACTGGGCTCTATGAATTCAGTTGTGTTATCTCTTCTTAGCTACATGAGGAAGCTCTTCTGATTCAGTTTATCTTTACACATCACCCTAGTATTGCTAGAAAAATTTCAAAATGACCAAGAACTGGATTTGTGGCCACATGAACATTGGGCTCAGACTCACTGAGCTTGTTTTCTATTGAAATAAAGTCATGCTTGCAAACCTATGCACTTTACTTTGTTGACTTATGTCTCAACCTACTTATCAATAGGAAAGATATATTCCTTAGACTGTGGACCTATCAACAAAAAGTATAGGATACAAAAGATTATTCCATTAAACTGAGCCTTTCTGGATATTTCTACTTTCCATAATAATGAAAGATTTGATCCTTATTCCTAGCCTATAATTCATCTAACTTTTATTCTTAGAAAATAGTTACCTAAATATGAGTCACTCTAGTCTATGTACTGATGTCAAGAAGGACTCAGCTTCACAGGGTGATTGGTTTTGCTCATCTTAGATGACCTGTAAAGATATGCTTCATTTAGAAGAGAAAAGAACCCTCTAATTTCTTTTCACTGAGTATAAAAGAAGCTCAGGAGAACTTTCAGATCTGAGCAGACATCACTTTGAGATACCTAAGAGAGGTGTAATAAGTCTGAATCTGTGGGAAGAGCACAGAGAAAGCACATTATGCCTTTCCTTCTCATTTGTACCCACACAAGAGCCAGGCACAATCAGACTACTTCTTTAAAAATTATTTTAGCCAGACATGCAGTTTTATCCATTTTTATCCTGTAGTCTAAAAGATCATACAAAGATAAAGGATCCCTCCCCATCCTTTACAAAGGAGAGTGTGGGCTCCCCTGAAGCTCATCTTTTCCAGGCTCACACAGATGTCTTGCATGATTAGGCAAAATAATCAGCCCTTTGTTTTCACCACGCCTAAGAAAACTATAATTTCACTTGCAAAGCAGCCACTGTGACATCATGTTGTGCTAGAACTGCCCTGGTAAGTTGGAGTGAAATGTTTGTGTTGATGGACACACCTGAGAGCAGACCAGAGAACCAGCTCCCTTGGAGATGGTTTTAATTTCATTCACAGGGAAAGTGCTCTGATTACAGTCACAACACAAGGTCTCTACCAGCAATGCACAACTAGTCACAAGGCCATGACACTCACCTGTCCAGGAAATAAATGTAATGGGCTTTGCTAACTAAATATGGCAGCACTCTATCCCTTCCTTGCACAAGTCAGAGAATTACTTTGCTCAGAGACTCAGAAATCCAGCTTCTGAGTTCACTGAACAAAACCAGGAATATATTTCAATTATTTCTGTACCTTTAGGTTGACTCGTTTATTCCCAAAATAATATGCATTTTAAGTAGACAGTTCCGCACATTTGCTGCTGTCCCATTTCATTTTGCCTGTAAACCCGTGTTATTTCCATTAGCTGACCAGTCATTCACTCTGCCACCTGAATTAACTAGGCAGCCATTCAAATCTGTCATGTTATATGGAGTCATTTGATGTTGCCCTTGTATTAGTAAACAGACCTTATCAATATCCCATAACAGGCAGAGTGTGCAAGGCATCTCGTTTAGAACAAAGAATGATTCAAATAAATCTTACATAAATTTTAAGGAATGCTGTGAATATGCCCAATCTTTAATTAATTTCAGTGTGGAAATGGAATACTTTGAATATGTCTAAAGAAAAATTACTTTCTAGTTACAGTGAATTGTATTCCTTATGTAATAGAATATAACTTTAAAATGATGACCAAAAAGTATTTCATTGCCATCCACAGATTTTACATAAACACTTTACAAGCTCCACTCCACTCAGAATCTGTAAGGGATGCACTTAGCCTTCAAGAAGAAAATTCAGTTCTGTTTCAGTCTGTACATCAAACCTGTGGCAATTCCCTTTCTCCTCTTTAAACTTCAGTGTCCCCAGCTGCAAAATGCCTACAACATTACTTGCTTATTGTTTAATTTCATCCTCTAATTAATTTGATTAAGCCCCTCAAAATAAGTAAAATTTGCTCAGAATAACATAGCCTTTATTTTGATCAGTTTTGATCTCTTTCAGCAGGTAATCCTTGATAATGTAATCACTGGCTATAGGAGGTTTCATTTAATAGTGAAAGACAAAAATTTTAAAAGGGAGAGACAGGAGGAAGCTACTGGAAGACTGGAGTGATAATAAAAGATGACTACAACCCGAAGTTGCATTACTTAGAGATTATTATTGATATTTCAAGAACTACCATATGCTTTGCAAGCTGTGACAGTCACCCTTGTAGTCACATGGATGAAATGATCAACTGCTTTTTGCATTCAAAGTGATAGGAACAAACTTGATCCAAGTAAGAGAAGCTGCTGTGTAACAAACAGCACAGGGGCATTGTGTGACTTAATTACTGTTTGTGGGGGAAAGGTCCCTTGCTTTGGTTGGGATCCTCAGTTGGAGGTTCATGCAGCAAGTGCAACAGCTATTTACTAACTTATTGCAAAGGAAAAAGCTAAATGAGTTCAGGAAGTTACCATTTAATTATTTCATGCAATCATGTGCTTATGCATCATATGACATGTTTGACACCATTAATGCCAGTGATGTGCTGTCACGCCCCTACCACAGAAATTATGAGCCTGGTCTGAGTGGTAGACAGAACAAAAGTAAATTGCCCAGGCTTCCTCGATGATATTTAGGAGAGAGACTGGATGTTTTATAAATGTCATTGTGTTCTTACAGCCTGCTACAACCTTTCTGTTGCATCCCCTGCACCCTGTATAATTTTGGGGATGAGGTCGCAAGACTGCTTCCATATGGGATATTTAATACCATCACAGTGGTCCTGCCTTGGCGATGGCATAACTATTTCAGGAGGCACCAGAGTGCATCAAACCTTGGCACACCTGAATGCACCCTCGACAGACCTTGAAGCATGGATCGAAGGGTATGCCTCAGAAATCTCCCACTGACCTCATTTTGGATTCAGACCTGACAGGATTTTAATCCTCCCTGCAATCACGATGGCTGTGTTCTCAGCAGAAGTAATACACTCTCATTATTGGTGGACCTTCAGCTTCACAGACCATAACAGCATTGATCCTGTCACTGCACAGGCAAAAAGTCCATGCTGGGGAATCTCTGCATAGACAGTAACTCGTGCCTACTGTCAGTCCTAGGAAAACATGAGGCAAGTACTGTTTGCTGTTGGACTTCTGATCCAGTTTCTCCTCCTGAAAAGAGAGAGTTATTTTGGGGTGGGAACAGGGAAAAGAGATTAAAAGTGGGGATATGCAGATCCCCATGGCCTAACCCTGTATGTAATGGTATGTGCAGCAAACATGCTCCTCTGAGAGCAGAGGAAGTGCTGGGCATCAATCATTCCTTCCTTACCTGCTAGACCTTGTCGTTGCTGAAAACAATGTCAGTTCAGAGGGACTCCTCCTTTCATCTGTACCACACAGCGTGGGGGCTCGGGTAACTGGATATTTCTCCACTAAATCTGATTTCATACTAGCAATAGGAATGGGTCAGTCCCATTCAAAAAAACATATCATATCTATTTTGGAAACATAAAACACATAAAGACTTTATTTAACAGTGCAACACATACAGGTTTGTCTTCTGTTTACTCCTTTTTATATTTATTTACTCCTATATGAGGTCATTGAAGCTAGCAAGAGCTTTACAAATAATTTCATATTTTTCCATTTCTTATTAATCATTAAATAACAGCTGGAACTTCACATAAATAGACCTACATATCAACTGGAGTTGAAATGGGATTACATCAACAGAGTAAAAGTAGGGAAACATGTTTTAGCTTCCATCAATTTAGTCAGAGAAAGCAGCATCAAGAGTTTCATTTTGTTTATGCAAAATTTTCCTATATGATTCCCATCCACCATCACTATTTTGCAGCACAGAAAAGCATGTTAAGTTTTTTTTATTTTTATTGAATAAAAAAACTTCCACTAAATTTAGGGTTTTTTTTTCCTTAAATATTTGGTCGACTCTTGAATGTAAGCTGAACTCAGGGACAAACTAGACCTGACAAAGTGCCTTTACTTCACCTGCATCTTGAAAAACCAACAGAGGAACTGATACAAAAAGCAGGCCGACTCTTTTTCTTAAAGTATAAATGTTCTTCTTTGTCAAGCTTGATCCCATGTGGAAGCTTCATTTAAATGTGACCTGCAAAGCAAAAACGAAAAGTGAGCACAAATTTCTACACTGAATATCTCCAGGCTGTGTGGTGCAAGAAAACCCAGTACAGAAATAGCTCTAGTATTTTAGGGTATAAGCTTTTAGGGGAGATTCCTGACAGAAAGCTTCTCAACCCACTGCTGAGATCCAAGAATTCATCCTACGTTGTTTCCAAATTGACTGTCTTGATTAAAATAAGAATTTGTGGTGTCGTTTTCTGAATGTCCGCAGTGTCCCATGCTGGGATTTTTTCAGTAATCTCAGAGTACAAGGAAATTTCACCAAGAAAAAGGAATTCAAAGTTATTTTAAAAAATCTGTGATGAATATCTTTTCCACTTTGTCTAACAAGTGGTCTGGGAAGCCCCAGGAAACCATGGACTACATGAGTATGAGGGAAAAGTAAGTAAAGCAAGACTACTGTCAGTATATTCAAATCCAGTATCCAAAGTCTGCATCTCAACCAGGAAACGTATAGAAGCTTCTCAGTAGAAAAAGATCATAAAAGCCTTGGTACAGTTCCTGCAGGTGCCAGCACCCAGTCAGCAATGCTGAAGATGGAGTAGAACTTTTCATATCAGAAGGAAGCAACTTTGTCCAGTTCCCAGTGGGAAAAAAAAAAAAAAAAAAAAAAAGCAGCAAGCAGAATTGAGTAGCAGATGCTGTAGATAAAAGAAATCTGTAGAAATTGACAGATATTGTCTGTTCTAAGGAAGGTGAGGGTACTGATAAGAAGCAGAAAAAAATCTTACTCATTTATGGCTTTGAGGCAGTGTTTTAAAACATTTGGGGCAAGACTGATAAAAATAAGTAATGATGATTTAGCTATTTAAATTTGTTTAAACAAATAACTTAGCTATTCCCTCTGTAATCAACACTGGTGATGATGCAGCTCTGGGCCTCTCAGTTCTGGGCCTCTCAGTTTGAGAAATACATTGAGTTGCTGTAGTGATTACAGAGAAGGGCAACAAAGGTGGTGAATGGTCTAGAGGGTAAGTCCCATGAGGAGCAGCTGAGGCAGCTGGGGTTGTTTAGCCTGAGGAACAGGAGGCTCAGGGGTGACCTTATCACTCTCCACCACTACCTGAATGGTGGTTGTAGAAGGGTGGGCACTGACTTCTTCTCCAATTAGGCAATTAGAGATAAGATGAGAGGACATAGCCTCAAGCTGAGCTGGGGAGGTTTGGGCTGGACATCAGGAGGAACTTCTTCATGGAAAGGGCTGTTAAACATTGGAACAAACTGCCCAGGGAAGTGGTAGAGCCATGATCCCTGGAGGTGTTCGAGAAACGACTGAATGCAACAGTGCTATGGTATATTTGACATAGTAGTGATCAGTCAAACGTTGGATTTGATGATCTTTGGGGTATTTTTCAATCTATATGATTCTGTGATTCTGTGATTTGGTTATTAAATGGATTGACACTCTGTAAATGCATCCTACTCTGTCATTCAATGCTTTCGAGGAGACCATTTGCACAACTGTGATGTGGGAAGGGAATTAACATCCATGTCCTCAGGAGAATTAAAGCAAGGGTTTATATGAAGAGTAGTCACTCCCTTTTTTCCCCATTGAAACTTGGCTCTCCCTTCCCCCATCCCAAAATCAGCATCTTCAATGTACCTCCACTGAACATTCCTGTAGTATTCCCACCCATGTGTCATTTGCTGACACTAATTGAAAACAGGACCTTGACAAAATGGTCTACATTGGGAGAAAGAAAACATTAGTGTCATTGTGATGCTAATAAAGGATGCTGTAGTTAGACTAGGAGGAAAGCATGGGGGAGAGGTTATGTGTATGCACCTCTTTCGATTTATCCATTGCACTTCCATACATTTTTCGTTTATGGGAAAGAAAAATGGTCTTTTTTTTTCAAATTACCTTGATAATGCCAAAAAAAAAAAAAAAAAGAATCAGGAAAATGTTTCAGGCTTTCCACAGCTTAAAGAAAGCTGAATTTAAACTAAGGAAAAGTACAGGTTTTCTTATTTCAGCCTGTCCTTGAATCATTCTTTTAAAACACCAGCTCATTATAGTCAAAAGTCCTAATTTTAAGAATGTCTCCATGGGGGATTCATCATCTCTTTGCTATTCATTTCATGAATGATGTGGACCTCCTTTTTGATCAGCCAGGGTCTTCTGGGAATGAACCTTGAGGTGAAGGTGGGCATACATTGTTTTTCTGTTATCGAGTTAGATTTCAAGCTGTCATAGTACATAAGAAGAAATTCCTGGAACAATCTGCCTGAGGTATCCATAGGGAATACACATATGTGATTAACCCAACTGGCCACTGGGTGTGACCATTGCACCACACAAAAGCATCTGAGACTTTTCCAAAGACAGGTCTGGAAGTATTGGAGCTAGAAAAAAAACATAACCTTTTGAGGTCTGAGTAGACAGCAGTAATGTCAAATAACTTTCTGTGCTCAGTTTTCACATGCTTTGTTGCATAATATGGAGCCTCTCTCAAAAGTCAGGCATATAGCATTTAAAAAAACAGTGTAAAAAAATTCAGTGAAAATCACATTAGTCACATAACCAGAGTCCCTTTTTCTTCTCCAAAGGATAACTAGCACTTCTCTTAAAGCTGCAGGTGTTTGACTCTGTTCACTGTAGCCACATTAATAGAATAAGCACATTCACAGGCAGAATGGCTTAACTAGGCAGTAGCCAAAACATTAGTTCCCAATCACCTTTTTGCAGCCAAAAAGCTAATATTCATTAAGAAGAATAGGAAAAATAAAATCTGCAATAAATTATTGATAATTATTTTTCTCCAATTTGGGTTCTGTAAATATGAGACAAAAGAATTTTATACAGAGGAACCCAGCCAGATCTGTAGCTTGTGTCAGCCTCTTTCAAAGTGTTTCCCGATTTTATGTGCTATTTTATAGCATTTTTATTATGGAAAATGCCCCAACTTTATCTTTTAGATCATATATACTCTTTCATATTCTCAGTGCAGATATAGTTAGATATACACATCAATTTGCAAGATCTGTTTTCCTGACCACACTCAGATTCAGTAGTGAAACGTTTGCATATTCCCTTGAGTTAGGCTGAAGTTCAGTAGTATCAGACCCTGATCAAAGAGTCAATGGTAGAATAACATCACCTTGATCTCTGAAAAACCTGTCAGTCCTGAGATTGCTCAAGCTCACATTGGTTACAACTACCTCGACAGGCAATAACTGAACAAAAAAAAAATCTCCAAGAATATAACTGCACTTTGCCATTCTTTCATCCTTGGGTTAATACCCAGTGTCCTGGTCAGAGGATATCAGCCATGATGAATGTTACAGGCTCATTTTTACCAAAATATGGTTTTGCCCACGCAGGACGAATCTGAAGTTGTACTTGTGCAAAACCTACAGAGCAAGGGTCTGAATTCAGACCTACCTTTCAGATCATGTATGAATGGGAATGCCACTTCCCAGAAGCACAAAGTACATCAGAAGGGATGTACTTCTTGTAACTTCTGAAGGGATCTAACAGTCACTGTGTCCTGGTTTTAAAGGGGAAAATACCAGTAAAGAAGATAACCTCAGTTTCAAGCTTCTCTTTGTGCCTTTATTTCTGATTTTTAAAGGTATGGTTTAATAAAAAAAAAAAAAATCATAGCCAACTGATAGTACTAGTAGTAATTATTATTATTATTATTATTGTTATTATTATTATTATTATATCAATAATATCAACAATATCATCTCAATACCTAACAACTCACACTGGAAATTATCCATACTTCTCAGACTGGTGACGTTTTTACGCTAAGGGAGACATTTGGCATCTTACTGAATTTGTGATGAACTGCCAATGTTTTAACAAGGGGCGTTCAGCAAACACCACTTTGACTATACATTTGCACTAAACCTTAAACTAGAGTTCTATGAGTTAAGGCTACGGAAACTATTTATTTGTCTCCCCATTTAAACAAAAATATTTTCTCATAACCCTAGGCTAGGAAGGGGCAATTCTACTTGACAAATAAACAAAATGTTCTTGATGGAAAGCTACACTTTCTATCTGAAAGGAAATCTACACTGGCTATATTGCTAGCATAACACACAGTTCAACTGCTGGATAATTTGTATTTAAAAAGAGAGAAGATCTTTAGAAAATTCTTCATCCTCGGTGAAATGTACTGTGTTGAAAACGAGGGGGTGAAAGCACTCTCTTCTGAAGTATCTTTATGGTCTCAAGGGAGAATGTTCTTTATAAGACAGGAAGATTTAGAAGAATTCAGGAAGGAGAGCATGCACCCTCAGAAGCAGAGAAAACATCTTCCCATCTTTCAGCTTGGCTGTAAGGGATTCCTGACAACCCTGCAGCTGTTTCCTCAAGCACATCCTTACTGAAGAGTCTGTGTTTGTATGTGTGTGTGTGTGTGTGTGTGTGTGTGTGTGTAAAATAAATTCAATATTTTTTTTGTCACCACAGCAAACAAGCCACAGAACCTCCCTTTGTCAACCTGTAGCATTTTTATATACTGGTCTGAGTCCCAGGTTGGGGACCAGCTGCTCTCTTCACGAGTGGCAGCACCACACAGTGTGACCACAGCCCAGAGAGGATCTCACCTACACAAGGGCATTGCTGCTGCAGCACACAGCTACCCAGCTACAACTACAGCTTCAAAAAATGCAGTAAGAGGGAAATATGGACTGGCCAAAATAACCGCTATCGTATATTTGATGTGACTGAGAAAAAACTGGAACTCAAAGAGTGGCATCTGAGGTGCATCCTCTTGTCTGCTGACTCCATCACCCTCTCCTTGACCACACCATCACAAGGCTCTTTATGGGCAGAAGGCTTCTCTCCTGATCCAGAGGCTAGTTTAGTATTTTTTAAGGAAATTACATGCATGAATCCCATTTAATAGGTTTTGTAGCTTCCATATATCACTACTTATTTAATAGCTTATAAGAAAACTTCTACAATAGGCTAGATTTCAACAGAAAATAAAAGATTGTGTGTCTCACTAC